TTTAGCAGCTTTCATAGACTTGTGATATTTTGATAAACAGTTTTGAAGGATTTTCAGTGACACTTGAAGCTTCAGAGCACAGGTATTTTCATTCAGCCAGAGTTGATGTAAAGACTGAGTACACGTAGTCTTTGGAGGAGCCAGAGTGTCCAGAATAGAGGAGCATGTGGAATTAAAAAGGTTGGAAAGCTCATCCACCGATCATTTCTTCCTTTTTTCTTTTTTTTTTTGCTGCTCCCTTAACTTTAGGTATTGCCACAACAGATTATCTAACCTAATCTCGTAATCTGGCGTGTGTGTGTGTGTGTTTATTTAAAGATTGTAGCATTTTCTGAACTGGTAAACTGTCAGGTTGGATAGTGAATGAGGACCCCAAATGCAGACTCTCAGGCAGGGAATAAATTAAATCAACTCTTTATTGAAGGCAATCCAAACCCAAAAGATAACAAAGGAAAGTATTGAAAACATTGAAAAACCAGGAAACACGAGGGAACCCAGCTGAAACTAATCAGGGAAACAAGACAAAATAAAACAGAACACTAAACACAAGACTAGGGTTGGCAAAATAAAGAAGGAAGCGATTAAACAAGGAGAAATCACAGAAAGAAGACTTCATAATACATGGTTCTTACTGGAGAAGCAGTGTTACTGAAAGACAGGATATCATAAACACAACTGGAGCCAAAGCAGAAACCTTGATAACGACTAAGAAGAAAACTAAAGATAAACCCGCAAAAAAATAGAGTGCAGAAGTCTAAAATTCTGGTACCATGACATAAATAGATGACATGATTTTTGTTTTTGTCTCATCAGCTTGTCCGGGAAGGTTCCAGTGCAACAACTCCCTGTGCATCAGCAAGATTTCTCAGTGTGATGGCTGGAACGACTGTGGAGATAACAGCGATGAGATCAACTGCAGTGAGTCCAGACACAAACACGGGTTTTCTTTGTGACTCTGCTTTGGGTGTGACGTGTCTTTGATACTAAAAAAAACAAAAACAAAAATCACTCACAGTAAACCAAAATTATGGCTAATAGGTCGAGCATTTGTGGAGTATGGCGTTATTTTTGTGCCACTATTCAGAGCACATGTAAACAAAAAATTTTAAAAATTGTTGCATTTTGAGCAGACATTTATTTTGAGTGAAGAAATGAACACAGTTTATGTTGTGACCCAGAAAGAGTAATATTTCAAACTCCACCACTCTGCGTTCCTCCGCAACTGTCATGGTAGGCTGTGTGGCAGGCAGGCAAACAGGAGTGGTGGATCCAAAATGCAGGACTCAGACACAGAAGTACAACTTAAAGCGCAGCTTTATTGCTGGGAAAAACCTCTTACTAAACCAAGCTCACCAAAAGACAAACAAAAACGCTGGTGGACTAAAACACTGTAGCAGAAATACTGAACTGGAGCTGGAGACAAAACACTGGAAACACAGAGGCAAAACACACAGCTTGTTGAGGGAACGACGCGACACTGACTCAGAGAAACACAGGGTTTAAATACACTGGGAAGTAACGAGGGGAATGAGACACAGAAGGAGAGCACAGCTCGGGGAGACAAGGAAGCG